ACTTTTAGCTTTGGAACTGAAGTTGTATGCTTTGAAAAGCATGGGCTGACATCGGTACTGAAAGTAGAATTTCTAATGGAAAGAAAACCAAGAAAACCAGCCAAGAAAACCTTTGACAGTTCTAATACGAATCCCAAAAGTTAGGACAGACTGATGTTTCTAGTAACTTTACTAACCATGTGTACATACTGGTAGCATTTTCATAGGGGATGCTGGACATTTTCCTTGAATATAATGTAGTAGGCGGGTCCTGCTTTGGAAATGTTTTGTTGCCAACGCAGTGCTGCCATCCCAGTCACTTTCAAAATCTACATGAAATGCAACAGATAAAATTACCAATAGAAGCAAATATGTGTAGCTCAGGGTTGAACTGTGGAGTCCTTGGGGGTCTCTGAGCTTGTTTGTTTTCTTGCAAACGTTTCGTTACCCAGCTAGGTAACATCTTCAGTACTAGAGTGGAATGGGGTTTGCTCTCTGTTTATATACAGTGGCCTGCCCTGCCGGTGTTGGTGGGGGTGGGGTTTTTGCTTTGTTTTATTTTTTTCCCCCTCTGGTAGTTCCTTGATTAGGGTATTGTTTACTGCTTGATTGTATGTGCGGTGATAATTTTGGTGTTAATTAATACCAAGGAACTACCAAGGGGGAAAAAAATAAAACAAAACAACCCATCCCCCCACCAACACTGGCAGAGCAGGCCACTATATATAAACAGAGAGCAAACCCCATTCCATTCTAGCACTGAAGATATTACCTAGCCGGGTAACGAAACATTTGCAAGAAAACAACCAAGCTCAGAGAACCCCAAGGACTCCATAAATAAAATGGTAAGAACTTAGCTTCTCCTTGCCCAGTTATTTTTCATATCCACGTTCACAGAAGAACTTTAGAACTTGGTAGTAACCACCAATTCTCATCTGAATGATCACTGCTTGGCACAAAGCACTGTACCTTATGGTCCATATCCATGTATCAAGACATCTATTCTTTCTTCTGAGATTTAATTTCTAGAGACTTGATGAGGGAAATACCTAGCAGTTGAAATCTGAGGGGTAGCACATCTTGGCTTCCAGCATTAACCAGGAGACCAACACAGTGCATTTTTAATTTTGCTTCCTCCCTACTCCCACAAGATTGGAATCAAGTGGGGAGGTCCAATGTAAGACCTCTCCTATCTTAACCCCAGCCTTTCATGTTGGCTTTTTTGAGATCAGGAAATCTTGGAAAGCCTCCAAAAGATCTAAAGTATTCTAAACTCTCCCACTTCTGTTTTGGCTTTATCAAAAAGCTAGGAGAAGACCTAGATGAGTAACATGAAGGCTTCTTGATCTTAAAGTGAGAGGAAAGGTAGCAGTCTTTTTTTTTTTTCCTTCTCTCTGCCTGTCAGCAGTAAGCCTTGTGAATCATCAAAAGGTCAGAGTAGAGCCTTGGATGTCCAGCCTATCTTGCAAAGTTGTCTCTCTCTGTTCTCTTTCTTTGAACCTACTGCATTATATTTTCATAATCATGATTGTGTTCTTGTTTTCTATCTTGGAAACTAATCAAATAATTCTGTTATTGGCCTACAAATATTACATATCAATAAAATAATACAAGTAAATAAAAATAATAGGAAAAAACAGGATAGTTTTGCAAGAGAGAATTACCAGAAATGAGGGGTTGTCCTTGGAGTATATACCCTTCATTTGTTTGTATATTTTTGCTGTCAAACACTTGGTTTTATTGCATAAAAATAATAATAGATTCTTACATTTTACAAAAGAGAAAAGTCAAACCATCTTATGTACTCATCGTATGTACAACCTATAGTAATAGTTTTTTAAAGAATTTTGCTACAATCCTTTTTGGCAGCAATAACAAATAAAGGTACTTGATTAGTTACATAAGGATTTGTATCCACAAATAAATTACATATTTGTTCAAGCACAGTTTTATCAGCCATTCCTTTCATCAATGACACAGGAGCTCAAGTTTCTCTCTGTGTGTGTCTCATATTCTCTGTGTGGGAAGTCCCATGCAAACATCTTAAAAAATTGAAAAGTTTATGTATCTTCCATCCATCCAGATAAGAAGGCACAGTTAGGAGAATTTACATCCTGTATATGTTATATCAACTCAAAATATGTCAAGGAATTAAAGTCATGAAAGAGAGAACTCACACTTAAAAGAAATGACACTACCTACTAAATTCTGTTTGTTGAATACCTTTAGTATCCCTGATTTTTATTTTTGATTCACTTAAAGAAAATCATCCAGTGAAAGAAAAAATTGAGGGGAGCTCCCAAAATACAGGTAGACTCAACTGTCCTTCGTTTTCTGCTAACAATAATAAAGTTCAGCCAAATAATGGTCAGATCTATCAGTGCTCTTTTCAAATAAAAGAAGCTTGCCTTGTTCATTCAAGTAGAAACTGATACACAGCCTGAAAACATATAATGAGAAAAAACTGAAATAATTTTTTTAAAAATTGTCCTGGATAAGCTTCACAACTATAGGTGTACTCTCTGTTGTATTCTCTGGTAGACCTGTGATAATGTCCCACTGCAAGTTTGAGGGGTACAGTCCTCTGGTCATAAATTATACCCCTTTAGTTATTCATTCATTTGTTCAGATATTTTAAAGCATGAAACTTACAGACCAACATTAAATTAAAACGTAATTTGTTAGAGATGCAGTTGTTGCTATGATAAAATTTAATGATAAAGACAAAAAAAAAACACACCCTGCAGTTAAAGAAAAAGAAGAATTTAAAAGAGTTATTAAGGATGCTGGTCCAAAGGGCTGTTAAGTTTATGCCCTGCAAGAGCAGACTTCATAGCTGGTGCTTTCCAAATCTGGAAATCTGGATTTTGGAAGCACCAAAAGTGGGGGGTACCCTGGGCCTCCAAGATAAGAAAGGCTGAATATACAAGGAAACTGAAGTCCTTTGTCCCTATTACCTCCTACTAGACATGAGATCCATGGAGAAATTTTTCTTTCAATGCTTACAGTGGGGGAGAAATATTTAAAAGAAAAAAAAGTTCTCCAACCTCCTTCTATTTCACTGGGCTGAAATCAAAGGGCAATAAAAATGGTGGGGCACTTCAGAATGAGAACACTCTTCATAAATAATAGCGTTAATCTAAACCAGCCATTTTACAAATACTTCTGATTTTATACTGACATTTTGCAAATAACAATTAAAATAGAGGTTGCATCTAAGAGGGGTTCTGAATGAATTAAAAGTTCCAGATTGATTTCTATTAAATTTATTCATAATTACAGGTTTTAAGATATTTAAACACATACTTGTACAAGCTTAAAACCAACTGGTTGATCATTGCCACAACAAAATCAAGCCAAACTACAGTGATATTAAATTTGTAACCTATGTATATCATTTTAAATATTCTAACCCAGTGCTTCCCAAACTGTGGTCACTGTCAGCCCTTCAAGGTAGGCCAGGTCAGAAAATAGATAGAGCAAGGATTTCAAGAATGCTACTTTACTGTTATAGATATCAGTTCCACTAGATAGCCCAAACCAGGAAATCAACTCCACAGGAAGACTAGAACTAAGATTGAGACTGGCTATAATAACAGAATCTTGAAAGCTTACCTCTGTACCTTCTTATGCCAAACAGAATCAAAGCAGGGTTATGTTGAGTTTCTTTGTCATGCCTCTCCTTCCCGAGGACTGAGTTGTGATTTACTTTCTTTTAACTGGTCTTTCATTCCTTCATCAACAATATCTCCATACTCCTCTACACTCAGTTACAGTCCTTGTAAAATATATGCCAGTTAAGAGAAGGTGTGAGAGCCAGTTTGGTGTACTGGTGAAGGCACCAGACCAGAAAGCAGGAGTCCGTGAGTTCTAGTCCCACCTTAGGCACAAAGCCAGCTGGGTGATCTTGGGCCAGTCATTCTTTCGCATCCCTAGGAAGGAGGCAATGGCAAACCACTTCCAAAAAACCTTGCCAAAAATCTGCAGGGATTTCTCCAAGCAGTTGCCAGGAGTCAAGATTGACTCGAAGGCACCAAAAAGCGAGTGAGCGAGAGACAGTAGACTGATCCTTAGAAAATGTACAAACACTACTTTCCCTTTTTCTCTGATCTGATGAGCTGCAACCACAGAGCCACCATGGCTTTGCTTGGAGGGGAAAGAGGAAAAAGGAGAACCTTCCTCTGAAACCTCCAGCTAGAGCATTGGCAATCAGGTGATTTAAGCCTTTAAAAAAAACAACCACCAAAAACTTATTTTACCAGGTCACCATTTTGCACCTGTGTAAAAATAAGAAAAAAAAATTGTCAAATGTGCAGATACATGAAACTGAAGAGTAAACTGTGGATGGATAATGTATTATTGTTGTTGTTGTTTATTTGCGGCTGCAAAAAGGGGGGGAAAACAAAAAACCCTGAAAAAAACTAGCCCCCAGCTTTATAAAGTTTGAGAAAACTTGTCCTAAACTGCAGCTGTGGGGGAGCTTTTAATATTTTACTCCCTGTTTTTCTTTTCTTCCCTCTTATTCTTAAGCCCTCCTTAAAATTTCTGGAGAACTTGAGAGAGATGTTTTTGGACATGGAAAGTTGAAATGAGGCTCTGGGATTTGAAGCTATGAGATCCATATGGCTCCCCAAACCAAGCAAAATTTCATTTAGAATTTTAGGTTACCTTACACATTTATCAGTCATGAGGTTAGTTTCGTGATAGGTATTCCATCTTGATTTTGTGTCCTGGTCTGGATTCAAGATCTATACGTAGACAACAGAATATCTGTTTCATAATTACATTTTAAACCACCGAGCAGGTTTAGATGAGATGAAACTTAGAGTCCCTGTTTCTTTCAAGTGGGAATCATGCTGATAGTCACAGTGACTTATACTTGCATTTCTATACTGTCTCATCAACCAATTGTTTAAAGTAGTAGAGCTCATCAAACCAGCTCTACTACTTTAAACAATAGGTAGTCTAAATAAATGTACCCTCAACATCTTCCAGAAGCTATAGTTCCAGGAGCTGCCTTGTTGTTATTGATGGCCCCTGTGTTTATGTTGGTCTGGAACTGGAATGGTAAAAAGTAGATTTAGCCAAATACAATCACATCTGAGCCTTAATAGAAAAAGAAGGAAAGTTTAATTAATGGCATATTGTGCAAAAGCAGTGTTTCCTTACTGTTTCCTGGGAAGACAGAGGCATGCTCTGGAAACCCTCATTCTAATTAATCCTGCAAGTAGGAGCATTTGGTGCAAGGTCAGAGAATAATAGGCAAATGTGTGAATCAGCAGGATACAGCAGTAGTGAGAACGATCATTTGAATAAAAGCAGTTGTGTTATTCCCACCCCCCTCCCCCTTTCCTTTGGTCTGTGGGCTGTTCAATGTTCTGGATGAATATAACACAATCAGTCTGCTCTCTGGTGTATATCCACTTCCTGCTGACTAAGGGCAATCTGCATCTTCTGCCATTTATTAAAATGAAACATTCGTATTAAAAAATGCTAGGGTAGTTTTTGTTGTTGTTGTTGCTGTTTCCCAAAGATGACCAGCCCAACAGAAGTAAACGACATGATTAAAATCACTTTTTGTTTAAAATCAACTGGCAGATCCTCTGCATGTGTCTGTGTGTTGCATAGCAAGCCTGGTTAAATCTGATTTCCAAAGGGGGGATTTTGAAGATTGGGAGATCACCATCATCTTCTAGAAAAGATTGATCCATTTTATACTCGTAAAATGAAGACCGAGGCTGTGTTGCTGATTTCTGTGAGATATTGGACTCCCTAGGGCAAATAGGTCCTTCCCTTTCGACTACCTTTAGTCATACGCCTTCTTCCTATAATCCAACCTTTTTTTCTACATTTTATGATGTCCTCTTACCCTGTCTATGGTCCCCTTTAAAATACGATGATGTGCAGCAACTTGAGCTCCCTGTTCGCATCTGACATGAGACAGCAACTTGCAGATCATTTTGTCTTAAATGTTCTTCTGTAGCAAATAACATTTCCCCCCTGAGATTTACGTATGTCAGTGGTTGATGGGTTGGAGGCCACCTATCCAGACCTGGTAGTGGTCAGTGGCTGGGCCTGCTCTGCTCCCTAATAAACTGAACCTGACTCACATTGACACATGTCAACAAGCAGACTCATGAAAATGCACACTTTGTCTCTCTCTGTCACACACACACACACACACACATTTATATGAAGGACTGATGGTTTCCATACCAATTGATTTCCTTCAGTTTTCATAGGGTCCTATCTTTGTGCCAGAGAAATAATATTTCCTTAGACTCCTGAATGGCTGAGAGACCATACTTCGTCCAAGACTTTGGTGAAGAAAACAGGGAAAATGCACAGCAACTTCATCACCTTTTCAGTTCTCAAGGAAGGCCTCGGTAAGCAATAGCTGGCCTATGAGCTGTGAACAGAGGTATCTGCAGGGTCAGAGACTTTCATCAAAATGAGAAAAGCAGTGTCTCTTTTGTTTGTGCACATGCGCAATTCACAACGTGTGTACAAAAGGGCTGGAGCTTGCGTTCAACAGCTCCCCACCCTTAGTTCTCACTGGATGTCTCTGGCTAAGCAACAAATGCAAAAGAACAGAAGTCCATGATACTAACATTGCACTTCCGTGGTTCACCAGGACATTCTCATATACCTTGGCTCTAACATTTTGTAGTCAAACACGTGCTACCTCTGACTGTGCCAATTCTCATCTACGCTATGCGTTGCAGTCTTTGAAATTAGGCCAAGCCCGTATGGCATTTCCAGGTCTGTCGTGTGAACACCCGTAGTTATTTCAGGAAGTGCTAGAGAAAGGGAGAAGCTTTTTGTGAGGGCTTGAACTAACAAGGGGAAAAGCAGAGAATCTGGGGCCGGACAGACCTCTTACAGTAACGATACTGTACACAGTTATCAATTGTTGCTCCCACAGAGAAATGATGAGGTCCCAGTCTGTTAGGACACCGCTTAGAAGGAGGATATGGAAGACTTCTCTCTTTCTCTCTCCATTTTATGTGACACACATTTTTAAAAAACGGAGCTTTGATTACACTGCTGTGGCTACCATCTTGACTTTCTGGACTATATCCTGCAGACACCTCTAGCCCTGGATCTCATAGCTTGCAGTCACTGCTGGTTTTCTGCTCTAATTATTGTTTTTCTAGTACCTGCAATGAAACTAGCTGATCGAGAGCTGTGTCCTTGAATCTCCGCTTGCAGGATTTCTGATTTGAATATCCATCTGGGTGAAGCCTGACAGCTCTCTGCAAAGAGCTTGGCGCTGTTTTAAGCGTGTCAGGATTTTTTAAGTAAAAAAAAAAAAAAGCTGAAAACAACTTGGCCATCTCACACACTTAATAGAAGTAAGTGCACTTTCCTAACCCTCTGGGGGTAGTGCGGGGGGGCATTAAGGGAAGGGGTGGTTGGACTTACTTCATGGCTGTCATTTTTCCCAGCGCGGATTTCTCTGAAGGCCAGCGAGAGAGAGAGAGAGAGAGAGATCCATATCTTCAATATGTAAGAAAAATTGAGGACCTGGATTTACGTGAGAATTCTTTGCAGGGCAGTGGGTCAGAAACTACTGCTGGTTTGCTGCACGTTCAGTGCCTTGGCCTAGGCAATTATTGTCCCACAAGAACAAAAGTGATTCGTCTTCCTGAGGAAAAAGGGGCGGCCCTTCTTTTGCGACGGGATGTATTGCAGGGCCTCCGACACTTCAGCTTGTTCTGTGCGTCCTGCTGTTAACAGCTTCACAGTAGTCGCCTGATAGGCTTTCGACACCAGCTTTGTGGAAACGTGGCGCAGCTATCAAGCTGCCATTGTAGGGCTATTGAGAAATTAATGCAATGCCACCAAGCTGTGTAAAGCTACAGTCAATTGGAATGAAGCTTATAATTATTAAGGGAGCTTATTAAAATGTGCAGACTAAAAAGTACCCCCCAAGAGCTCATTATTGCATTATGGGCTCCCAGATTTATTCTGAAGTTTAGTGACTCTGAACTCCCCTCTCCTCTTTGATCACATATGAACTGAAGAATGGTGAATTCAATAATAATAATAATAACAACAGTTACATAGAAATACAATAATGGGTCATTACTGATTTTACAGCATCTGTGGATCCTATTTTCACCAGTGCTGCCTGATAAAGCTGAAAAACCAAGGAGAAAATACTATTTACTTTTTCTTATTAGGATATATTTATACTGCTTTTAAATACCCATACGCTGCTTTTTGCTTCATTTATACAGCTCCTTTTAGATTTGGCTCTTTTTACTTTATATACTGTATATGGTTCTTCAATATAACTTTTAACCTCTTATATTGAATATTTCTTCCTAATGATTGTATCACAGACCCTTATGCTGGTCTATGACAGTAATAAAGATTGATTTTATTTGATTTGATTTGACATATCCTACTCAAGGCATTTTAGAAAATAAATTTAAATGCACCCCCTCTCCAAAAAACTGCATTATAATACTATTCAAACTCAACAATAAACCTACCAGCCAATGTTAAAACCATACAAATAAAGCAGAGCATTAAATCAGCATCAGTTAAACAGAGTAGAAATATCTAGGTCTGAAAGGCCTATCCTTCCCGGAGAAGTATATGAAGCCACCACAGAAAAGGCCCTGTCTCTTGCGCTTGACAACCAGCCTTGTACATTTTATCATCAGGTATACAAACCTGACTTCTATGGAAAGTCTTAAAACTTGGGCAGATTAACACATATACAAGTAGTATTCAGATAATCTGGTCCTCCTAAGTCATTTTGAACTTTCAGGGTAGTTTAAATTGGGCTTAGAGATGGAGCATCAACCTATGTGGTTGGTGCATCATTGGTGTTATTTGCTTTGATTGCCTAGCTCCCAAGAATAGCTGGAAGCTGTATTTTGCACTGTCTATAGCTTCCAAACTTTCTTTAACTGCATACCCAAGTAATCAGGCATAAAAGTGTTTGAGACCTAAAAACAATAATTAACAGCATATTAATTATATAAAAGAGATTATCGATGCATTTCAGATAAAATCTATGACTCTACAAAGCCATGTCAGGCAGAAAGCACCATAAAAATGTTGGATAAAAAGATACCATCTTGTGGGAATGGAATATGTTTGCCCATTCCTCTACCCCATCAAGGACAATCTGAAGGATTCTTGTTGCTCTAGAATCAGATTTCATATCCATGGGGGCTGCAGAAAGCACCCCATCCATTTCTACAGAACTGAGCTATCGCCCGTGACCTGTTAGAATCTGTAATGGTGTGTGGGAATGACCTTGGGAGACAGGAGAAAGACCCGCAGACTAAACAACAGTCAGATAAGAGTCAGCTGAGTCCATAGAAGGAATATGGATGTGGTAAGCATCTCAGAAGGGACCCTCCCTAGTTTCTTGGATTGTAAAGGCAAGAGTGGAGAGATTTACTTTCAGGCTTGCAAGATTCTGTTAAGGTAACCTAACAATAAAGTTAGAGCTAGTACTTCTGGGTGTGCTTCTTGCCTAGACTACCTCACAAGGCTGACAGGATCTGAGCCACAGTCTCCCCTTGCTCTCAAAATGTTTCATGCAGATATACTGACATCTTGAAGATAAAATGGTAAAAACTGGAAATGAAAATAATACTGGGAATCTTGTTGCAATGCAGTAGGAGTGGAAGTAACTTGTATAATGTACCAATTCTAGACAACTCTTCCTGCCAATGTCATTGGTAATCTTAGCTGTGTATATCCTGTCCTCGAAGCCATTACAAGTCTGCCAATCAGGTGATCAGTTTCGTGTCAATCATCCTGCCTACTGTTGGTTCCCAGATGGAAAGAGCCCTTCTGTCTGCAAGAGGCAAGTGCGGATCTAACTCCTATATGCATCACTCCTAAAAAAAGTTCTTCAATGTTTGAAGGTAACTTATGGTCTTTTGACTTTTGAGGATGGCTCATTTTTATTATTCTGTCTATGAGAAACTCTATGATTCTAATGTTCCTATTATTTCAGAAACTTCAGAAAATAATACAGAAACTAGATACTGCAGATTTTTCAACTTGACCTTTGGAAGAGAGTCGTCATTGTCTCCAAGGGAGCAGAAGAACTGTGTGTCTTTGAGACTTTCTTTTATCATAATATCATTTAAAAAAAAAACTAGAATAAAATTGAATTTAAGCAGATCCCTGTGAATTTTTAGAGGGCATGTTTGTTTAGAAATTATCACTATAAATAAAAGCAGAGAACAAAATGAAAGAATCAGTGACCAAGAAATGTCCGTATTGTCCATATTCCATAGTATTTCAACCATCTCCATTATATCTCTATTTTTAAAAAATTACACAAATACAGAGAAAAGAATAACCAAGGGTTACAGAGCACCATGTGTGAAGGATAAAAGGAAACAATATATTTAAATATAAGAGCTTTCTCTTCAAAAGCCCTTCTACATGTGGGTACTCGGATGCCATCGATGTAGGAAGAGAAAGGAATCTTGTGAGTGGAATGTTTGAGGCAAGATGAGAATATGTGAATACAAAGCCTGTCTATATCTCCATCATATGAGGAAGTTCATGAACTCAAAATAAAAGGTTTTGCAATTTCTTTTTCGGTTGTACTGTAAGTCTCATTATTAAGAATTACATCAAGCTATGGTATGTTATCTCTGGCCCGCTTTTGCTTTGCTACTGTGGGTGGGAGAAATGCCACTGGGAAACTGAAAAGGCTGGAATGTATTCAGTAGTGCTTGGTAAGCATGTCCTCTTTCATAGATTCAACAAGCCCACACAACTCACTTTTTACCTAGTACTGGGGAGAGAAGATTACTACCTTCCTGTGGAAGAGTGATTAGAGCAGTGTTTCTCAGCCTTGGCAACTTTAAGATGTGTGGATTTCAACTCCCAGAATTCCCC